AAGGCATCTGCGGCAATCACGTTGGCCCTAGAGTATTGGCCAAGAAGGGAATGCTGGCTGGATACTATTGACCCACCATCTTCAGGGACTCGGCCGAGCTGGTAGCCCGGTGTAAGTCTTGCCAGTTACATGCCCCAATCCATCACACCCCCACTCAGGAAATGATTCCTCTCAATAGCCCGTGGCCATTCTTCCAATGGGGGATTGACCTGTTGGGGCCGTTTCCCCGAGCTCCAGGTGGCTACGAACACTTGGTGGTAGCCATTGATTACTTCACTAAGTGGGTAGAGGCCGAGTCCATCAACACGATTAGCAGCAGGTCGATCCAGAAATTCCTCTGGAAAAGCATAGTCTGCCGATTTGGCATACCAAGGGCTCTCATCTCGGACAACGGCAGGCAGTTCGCTGACCACTCTCTCCAGGAATGGTGCACGGAGCTCGGCATCCAGTAGCACTTCACTTCAGTGGGGCACCCCCAAACCAATAGACAGGTCGAGAATGTCAACAGAACCATCCTGCACGGCCTGAAGACAAGAATAGAGTCTGTCCGAACTAATTGGCTGGAGGAGCTGCCCACCATACTATGGGCTTACCGGACAACGCCTCGGACGGCCACCCAAGAGACACCATTCGTCCTGACATACGGGGTCGAGGCAGTAATCCCAGCAGAGATTGGAGTGCCCTCGGGTAGGGTGCAACACTTTGTGGCTCAGGATAATGAGGAGGAGATGCGGCTTGACTTGGACCTGCTCGAGCATCGAAGGGAAGAAGCGGCTATAAGAATGGCTAAGTATAAGGGCCAGGTCGCACGCTATTACAATGCCAGGGTTAGGCACCTTTCTTTCAAGCCAGGAGACCTGGTATTACGCAAGAACTCCGTGAGCCGAGCTGGGGGCACGGGTAAGTTAGACCCAAACTGGGAAGGTCCCTACGTGGTAAGGGAAGCTGACCGGGTAGGTTATTGTAAGCTAGCTCACCTGGATGGAGGCGAAGTCCCGCGCACCTGGCACAATTCAAATTTAAGGCTTTTTCTTTAGTATCCTGCCTGAGCTGAAAATGGTCAGCTGGACAGGTCTGTTTTCATTTTGTTAGTTCAGCACTTGGGCTTATAATGTATTCAAAGCTTTTAAATAATAGAAAATTTTTACAAGTGTTGGATGAGAAAGTATGCCATCTATTCCATTTCAAAAAAAAGGCATATACATGCGGAGGGCCATACAAAAGCGAGCTGGCCAGCTCGGTCCCTACCTTAGCCTAATTCCTATAGGCCTATCCTATGTACTATCCGTCTAGCTCTCCCCTTGCTGTTCTTACTCTGGCTCGGGAGAGGCTGCGGGAAGAGTAAGGTCGGCGACCAAGGCAACCAGGTCGCGCCCATTGGAGTAGCCCGTGACAAGCCTGTCAATTTGATGGACGGCTTGGGGGTTGTAGTCAGGCCATTTGCTCAGGTCAAAACCCAGCAAGTTCAAGGACTGAACATCAGCCATGGCTTTGGTGTAGCCGAGCTGCAGGACGGGGCCATTCAGGATGGCCAGGTCGTTCATGAAGCCCTCAGACTTCTTAAACTCTTGAACGCCTAGCTGACGCCCTTCCTCCTTAGCCGCTTCCACCAGCTCGGTAAATCTTTTGTGCTCGGCCTTCAGAGCCGCGGCCAGCTCAGCTGCTTTCTTCTTCCCCAGCTCGCAGGAGGATTTGGCATCCGCAAGTTGTTTCTTCAGGGACTCTAGCTCGGCCTCCGCGGCTTCGAGTTGGCTTGATAGCCTTTCCTTGGCGGCGTCGACCTGAGATAGGTTGACCCTCATATTTTCGTACCGCTGCGCGAGCTCGGCCCCAGCGATATTGAGCTGCAGATCGAATACAGGATAAGAAATCAGCAAATTGAAGGGGATGTCAGGGAGGCACTAAGTTAAGGAATCACCTGAGCTGTACTGAGGTAAATATGCTCCAGCAGTTCGGAGTTGGAGGCGAGTTGGATGAAGTGGTGATCGCGTGGGAGCACTGCGCCCTGGACAAGCTCCCAGGCAGTTTCAGGGAATTGAGCTCGGTCATTCACCGACAGCCCCCACTTGGGGCAGAAATGCTGGGGGTGCGGGTGCGAGCTCTGGCCGGTAGGAGGCTTCAGAGGAATCACGTTCCTCATACGCCACATGGCTGGAGGTGACTCGGACGAGGCCTGCTGCTCGGCGGAGTTCACTCCGTAGTGGAGCGCAAGAGCTGTTCAGGGTTCCTCCTGGGATTGGGGGGAAGTTGCCTCGGTCCTAGCCCTTTTGGCCGCCGTCTTTTTCCTTTTCTTCTTTGGCTCCTCTCCAGGTGACGACTGAGTTGTGATCTGAGGATTGGGCACTGGCGGAGGAGGAGGAGCCGCGCTACTGGGGGCCGCGGATAGAGCGGGAGTAGGAGTGCTAGTACTACCGGATCCTCCAATGTTCAAAAGCTGGGAGAATCTCTTCACTGCAGAGGAAAAAGAGTGGGTCAGCTCGGGCAGTGTGACCAAACTCATTAAAAAGAAGGAAGAAATAAGGCCCAGAAGTTACAAGCTGTCAGCTCCTCTGGGAGAAGGGGTCGGAGATCGGGGGGCAGGGTCATTCACCTCTGCTCGGATCAGCCCTGCCGACCAGAGCTGTGCATTGTTAAACTCTTTAACTTTCAGCCGGGCTTCCGAGCTGACCAGGCGGTCCAGCTCGGCTTCAGGCAGAGGTGAGGGAATTGGATCAGAAACCTGGGTCTCCTCCCTTCAGGTCAGGGGAGGAATCCCAGTGTTCTTCACAAAAAAGAATTGTGCCTTCCAGTCTTTGATGGAGGAAGGTATTTGCATGAACAGCTCGCGGGTGGGGAGCTCCCCTCCGCTCCTGCGAGCGAAGTAGAACCAGCCGTGAACCGGGCCGCTCACCTTCATTTGAAAAAATGACCTAAACAGTTCCAAGGAATAAGGAATTTCGAGAGCTCGGCACAAAATGAAGAAGCCGAGGATTGACCGAATGGCATTGGGAACGAGTTGGGTAATTCGGATGCCCCAGAAGGTCAGAATGTCATAAAGGAATTGGAGGATGGGAAGGCGGAGACCAGCCACGAGCTGATCCTTGTAGATAACTACAAATTCAGAAGGAGGTCGGCACGCGTACTCCCCCGGTTGGGCTGCCCTAGCCCCGAACTGGGGAGGAATATCGTACCTCCCCACCAGCTCGTCCACGTTCCCCTGATCAAGGATAGGGGGAATTATTTCGACTTCCCCAAAGTCGATATCGGGCGCCCTAGGGGGGTCCAGCCCTAGCGCGAGCTGGAACTGCCTCCAGAGGGATCCCTGGGCCAGTAGCTCCAGTCTCAGGTTGGGCAGATTGACCAGGCTGGTCCATGGTTAAAATTGGAGAAGGAAGGTACTCAGACCCGGACGAACTGGAAGAAGAAAAGCTAGAAAAGAGTATCTCTATGAGTGCAGGTCGGGTTACTCTACGCCTAGGTGCCGAGCTAGTAAGGTCTGAGTGTGTGGAAGAGGAAAACATAAAATGGAAAGAAGACTTACTAGCGGATGATAGGGAAGAGCTGATAGATGATTAACGCAACTCTCGGGTGGATTCACTAGGCGAGGAGCGAGCTGAAGAAGATTGGAGAAAGGAGAGAATGAGAATGGAAGCTTGAAAATGACGTTTGGTAGGACCTATTTATAGGCCTCCTGGGCGGGAAGTTGAAGAGCCCCGAGTTGGAAATTCGAATTTATTGCAAAGGGACGGTTACCTTGGAAAACGTTTGCGCTGACAACCGCCATCATGGGGGGACGCGACCTTTGAGGTTACGGTTATGACGGTATACGTGGCGGTTTTCCGAAGAAGGTGCGCGATCGTGGGATCATGGGCCCCGCACTAGGCCGACCTGACGCTTCGTAATTTGGTCCAGACTCATGCGACTTCTCGGTGAATCTAAACTCAAGGGGGGCTAGTGTAGTGGGGCAAATCCACGCATGCCACGTGTCAGCTCGGTAGGTGACGCACGTCAGTTCGGCGTTAGGGACTACGCAGCTTGCACGTGCAAGCTCGGCAGGAGAGAGCTAGCTCTGCTGTGTCAAGGGCTCCTGTACTGGGCCTTATGGGCTGCCACCTTCGAACTTATAGGTGCCGTCACGCAAAACCCTTGAAGACTCCGAACCCTAAGGGGACTTTGACTCCCACAAGGAAACTACAGCCCATTCGGCCCTATATAAGCAACGCCATAAGACCACACAAGGTACGTATAGACTAGTACTCTAAACTATTACTCTGTGGACAAGCTTTACTGACTTGACCGTCGGAATTATTCTGGGGACGCCAGTCCCGCACTCTTCCTTTCTTTACAGGACCCTCAGCTCGGTTCACCCTCTCAGGTCGGCTGCGCCTGATCAGCTCGGCTCGCAACAGTTCAGCTCGGATCTGGTTTTTGGCTGTCGCATCAATTTGCGCCGTCTGTGGGAACACGTAATTCTTCTCTTGCGAATCATGCCAAGAACGAGGTCCCAGAGGAATGCCGGTGGATCCAAGGGGAACGAGGGAAGCAGCCCCCAACACCCCTCACGAGGGCCGACTCCTGGAGACGAGGGCGTGGGGCTCTCCCGAATTTCGCCGGAGCAGTTGGTCCAGGCGGTGGCAGGGAACCTGCCAACTTTTGAGGCAATTGTGAACTACATGAAGGGGTAGGCAGTAGGTCATCCCGGCCAGGGACTAATGAGCCAGGGAGATGGGCCGTCCGAATCTAGGATGGGGAGCCCTAGCCCTCCGCCAAAAAGGGTACGCCGGGAGCTCACGCGCGATCAGGTTGACGTTGTAGAACCTTCTCACAAACACTCCAGAACCGAGCACCCGGAGCCCTTTCGGAGGTGTTCTAAGGAGGAATTCTCACCACGGAAGGAGCAGCTCTAGGTGCAGGACGAGCTGGACCTGCTTTTAGATCCAGAGGCGGATAGGTATATCGCCTCCCCCTTCGTCCCTGACATCGAAGACTACCCGCTGCCAGCGAAGTTCAAGATACAAAGCATGAAGTCTTACGATGCGACCACGGATCCGGAAGATCACTTGTTTGCCTTCATTACCCAAATACGCCTGCAAACTGCTACGGATGCGGTTAGGTGCAAGACCTTTCCAATGTTTTTGGAGGGTAAGGCGCGTCAGTGGTTCCAGGAGCTTCCTCCCAGGTCCATCCGGTCCTTTGCCCAGCTCGCGCGACTATTCGCGGCCCAGTTCGTTTCATCACGAGCCTTCTCCAAGAGTACGGCGCATCTGATGACTATCCAGCAAAGGCCTGAGGAGTCCTTGCGCGAATACATGGTACGTTTCAATAACGAGTCCCTTCAAGTTCGAGATCGCGATGACAAGGTGGTCATTGTTGCCTTCATTAACGGGCTGCGAAAACAAAAGCTCTATACCGAGCTCGTGGAGAGACCTCCCAAGTCAGTTCGGGAAATGCTAGACCGAGATCATGAGAAGGCCAACGCGGAGGAAGCCAATCGCCTTAAGAGTGTGCAAGAAAGATTGAGGGATGACAAGCGCAGGAGGGGCGCCGACCAGGTGGATGTACAGCCTATCCAGGGAAGGAAAAACGCTTATGACCGCCTTCCCAGGAGCCGTCCAATGGGAGGAAACAAGTCCTGGACTGGTCTCACGGCACCTCGAGCTCGGGTGCTCGCAGTGATGGAACAGGAGAGGCTCTCTCGACCTCCTCGTCCTTTGGCCGGTGACAAAAGCAGACGGGATCAACGTCTGTATTGTGCTTATCATCGAGATGTGGGGCACGATACAGAGGACTGCCGTCACCTCAAGAAAGACATTGAAAAACTGATCAAACGAGGCCATCTGGGGCAGTTCATACGAGAGGAACGAGCTGACCAGTAACGAGGAAGACCCAGGTCAGAACGTCCGAGCTACACCCGGGACCGACCTCAGGGGGCTCGTGGCCGAACTCTCGAACAGGAAACACAGAATCTCGCGGGGGTGATTAACACTATTGCCGGAGGATCTGCTGGTGGGGATAGTCATACAGTTCGGTGGCACAATCGCCCCCCTCCCACGGGGGAGAGCTCGGCCAAGCGATTGAAGATGTATGAGGAAATAATCTATGGACTTGAAGACGCAGTCCCTCTGGCCTCTAATAATCATGAAGCCATTGTGATAGAAGTCATCACCTGTAATTACAAGGTGAAAAAGGTATACATAGACAATGGAAGTACCATAGACGTGCTGTATTACAAGACCTTTAAGGAGCTACAGCTGGAGGATAGACAGCTCGTACCTGTTCGAACTTCGTTGATCGGTTTTGCGGGTCCTCCCGTGAGGCCGGAAGGAATGATCACTCTCATGGTTACGGTGGGGGTGTCCCCGAAGTGCCGAACGGTCCCGGTAAACTTCGCGGTGGTTAAGGAGCCGTCGTCGTACAATATGATTCTGGGACGGTCCACACTGAATGCCCTCCGAGCTATTTGCTCCCCCTTGCATCTTAGTATGAAGTGTAGACACCAAATTTTTGGTTTCGAATTTTACTTGTTTAATTAGTTTAATTTTAGATTTGTTGTTTCAATTTTAGATTTATCTTAGGGGTTTCCTGTTTCACGTCTCTTATTTTAATTAGTTTACGAACATTTATTTCATTTATGGATTCAAAAAGAAAAATCATAAAAAAAAGAGAAAAAGTGAAAATGAGAAAAATGAAAAAAGGAAAAATAGAAAGTTGCATTTTGTTGTTTCTAGTTTATTTATTTTTTATCCAATGTTATTTAAGTTGTTTTTGTTATTATTATTATTATTATTATTATTATTATCAATTTTGTTTAATTAATTAATTAGAGAAAAAAAAGAAAAAAAAAGAAGAAAAAAAGAAAGAAAATTAGCATTTCATTTTATCTTAATTAGCATTTCTGCATTTATTTTTTATTATTTATTATTAGGTAATTAGTTATCTATATTAATTAGTTATTATTAAAAAAAAAAAAAAGAGTGTCGCGGCATGCACGCTGCAATTTTTTGCAGCTTGCAAAGGACAATCACAGAGGCCCCGTTGGAGGGCTGGATGTGAAGGAAGGGCAGGCCTTTCATCCTCACCATTGGGGTGAGGGTTTAGGAGTCTTGGGCTCCATATAAAAAGAAGAAAAACAGCCGCAGCTAGAGGAGAGGGGGATAACGGCTGAGTTTGGGAAAAGAAAGACACAACCGAGGAGAAGGTTTGGAGGGTGAGCAAAGCGAGAGAGAGGCTTCCGTAAGAGGGAAACAGAGGAGTTTGAGAGAAAGGAAGGGCCGACAATTGAGAGAGAAGACTGGGGGTGATTGACGGTTGAAAATCTGGGGGGTTGGAGTCTTGGAGCGAGAGAGAAACAAAGAAAAGAGGAACCAGAAACTAGAAAGAGTGAGGGAAAGCTTCGAGAGTGAAAAGAAACCAGAGAAGGAACAAGCTTTGGTCAACAATAGGCGACTGAAATTATCTCCCAGGCCAATAGATTGAAGCTTGAAGTAACGGGTTCTGCATTACTGGAAATCGCTGCAACATAATTTCTGGGTTCGTTCTGGCAGCTTTCGTGATTTCCCTGAAATACCTCACCTTCGTTGATTACGCTAGCATCCTCAGGTAAATCCGTCCTTTCCTTTAGTTAGTCTTGTATCATTTCCCTGAAGCTTCAAGCTTAGTAAACCAGAGATTCTGGACTCATGCGTTGTGGATTTGGTTGCTAGACAGATGCTATTTTTGTGCGGTCCTTTTCATTGTACAGTCCAAAGCTGTTGCCTTTTGCTGCTATTGTTTGTATCATGATTTTTTTTGCTTACTTAAATGTTGTAGAATCTGGTTAGCAGGCTGCATGTTCTTGGTTGTTGTTCAATGATTATGCTTACGTTTCAATCTGGGAATGCACGGTCCGAAGTTTACTGCTAAAAAATAGTTAAAAGTTTGCATCTTTTGCTTTTCGGATTTTCTGGGGGGAGGAAGGCAGGGATTGAACTTATGATTTTGCTGTTTGATCTAAAGTAGATTGGGTTGAAGTTCTGGGGCATTGAGTGAGGCGTTTCCAGGTTTCCTTGGGTCATGTAAATGTTTGTAAACATGCTGGAAATTGCCGCAAGATTGGAAACATAATGCAGCAAACTTCACTTTAGGTTGCAGAAAACTTGCGGCACTTTTTCCTTTTCCTCTATCGCTGTTTTGCTGTTTGTTTATATCATTGATGATCAACTTCATTGCATGAACCCAGAATTTACAGCAGGCCATAACACTGCCCTTGTTTTGCAAGCTAGAAGCTTTAGTTATTTCGGCTGTGTTGTTTGAACCGTAAGATGGCAGCAAGTTTGAATTGCAGCAAGCATCTTCATGGATTGTATGACGTAGCCTTGAGAATTCTTGTACAGATGTCTAATATTTTGGTTGCTTTGTGGTCCAGTTTTAGCATGTTTTGTTGAATGTTCTGGTTGGATGTTTTGAGCAAAGATTGAGAATCTCTGTGGTTTCTTTCTTTGTTTTCTTGCTTGGATACTCTGTTGGGATCACTAATGATAGATGATTATGGCATAAAATTGATGATTTGGGTTTCCTATGAGTTGGGTTGGCAAACAATGAATTTTGTGCATTTTTTTTTGAATGAAATACGCATGGTTTGAAGCTGCAAAGGATTGCAGCAGGATTTTGCAGAAGTAAAGAAAGCTTCAGTTTTGCAGAAATTGTTCTTCTACGTAGCATGCATGTAAATGCTCTTGAAAATTGCATTTTGACCCCCCAAGTCTCCCTTTGTTGCACTGTGACCCAATTACATTCCATGTTCTTGCAATTAGGTCCTAAGATATTTGCATTTGAACCATTATTTGCCTTTTCCTTTGCCCTTGGACCCTTGAAGTTCCTAAAAGTGTTTTGATTAGGTTTGAGTGCTTGGTTAGTGTTCACAATTGAGTCCTTGGTAGCCTCAACTTTGCAACTCGATTGCTCATTTTCTTTCATTTGTTTGGGTGGTACTTAATGCAAGAGTTTAAGAACTTTGTGTTCAAATGAGCTTGTGTTCGCCTATTTTCTTGAATTTTCTGAAATAAATGGGTTTTGGCCTTTTTCTTGCTCTTGGGACTTTTAAAGTTCCTAAAATGTTTCATTTGGACTTGAATGATCGTTTAAGGGTTGTTTCGAGTTCCTATTTAGTTGCTATATTTGGGAATTTGGATGAGTTGTTCCACTTTTCCTTGGTCATTATGCATTGTTTGGTCGTTTTTTGATTGCAATTGAAAAAGGATTCGATGTTTTGGTGGAATCAAATTGGTTTATATGTGTTTTACCACTAAATTGGTGCATTAATCCTTTGTTTTGATGAATTTAGCCCAAATTATCCCGTCATTTGGTGACTTTAGCCCAGATTAAGTTTTGTCCACTTTATTAGCATCACGAAAAGGGGAGGTATAAGCTTCTTTTATCTTTTTGTCTCTCCCCTACGTGATCCAACGTATTAAGTGAATTGCATGTCTACTTTGCTTTCCTAGCCTTTCCTTAATTCCTTTTATTTATGTCATGTACTTTTGCTTTTTATTTAAGTTATTCTTTATGGGGTATGTGTACACCTCTTGGCTTGTAATAGATAGGGCTTGGAGGAGCATATGATGAAGACCTATTGAAGACGTGTGCCTAGCTAGCAAATGTAATAGGTCCTTTAGCTTGATTGCTTTGCTTTTGTTGATATGTGTTTCTTGCTTTATTAGGCTTTTGCATCTAGTCGAGCATGCTAAGTGTTATGTGCTACGTGTTTATGAGTATTTGGCATGTCTACTCGCTTTCCATAGCCATGAATGAATGTGATGGATGAATGTACGTTTTCACTAATCCAACGCTAGTAGGAATTCATAGAATGGGCTAGTCCAACGCTAGACCCTTAGGGATTTCTCTCGTGAGTCCATACTTTCATGTTTCACTTCATTTCATGCATTTTTTCTTAGTTTTTAGCATTTGGCATGTTCCTCCGATCCTTTCCCCTTCATTTTAGGTTTTTGCATCTCATGCTAGTGATAGGGTACATTTGCTTGAAGAGTCCCCTTTCGATAAGGGAAACGAGCGAGTGTGGCTACAAAATAGCCTTAGCACGCTAGTTCTCCCTTCCAATCAAAGGAAAAATTAAAGTCACAAAGTTAGGACTCCCCCGTTCCCGTCTTGATGTATTCCTATAGAATTCATGCATTTTACTCATTCGCTATCACATACACTTCTACTTTATATTCTAACCCTTTTTCCACATTCTCACTTCACACTACTTTGATTTTGCACGTTTTCACTCAACTACTCACACTTTATACAATATCACTCGCGCACATGCACTTTATGCTATTTTCACATTATCATTTTTACTCACCTTACCTTGTAAATACCATTTGCACACTTCCACTTACGCCCTATTGTTTTTATCACTTTTTCTCACTTCACACAAACTCACATTTTCACATGGCATGCATTCCACTCATTTTTTATGTCATTTAGGATTATGTGTGACCTCTCCAAAGGGTCATTATTGGGCTTCACAATTAATGTGATTGGCACCATTCAACCTTTGAAGAGAAATTTCCACCATGTTCCCCTAGGTCTAGGTTTTTGCATTCATGTAGTACATCCAAATGTAATAAATTCTTTGGTTAAAACAAGAAAATCTTTAATTAAATCACGCAACTAGCCTTGGCTAGATCGAAGGGGTGCCTTGGATTTTATCCTTGCCTTCCCCTTTGTCAAATGTGACTCCCGAACCTTTTTCGTTGGTTTACGTGAACTAGAAGTCGTTTAAAAGGGATTTCTTACTACTTTTTCTTTAAAAATTCATTTTTTGGGTGACTTGGTACACCTTAACTCATTACCAAGTGGCGACTCCGATTTTCTATTTCAAAACCTTTTTTAA